TTTTTCGTAAATGTATTAGGGCTTAAATATATATATATATATATAGTTCTGTAATCATACGGAGTTTTATAGCGAACAACGTCGCCATCTTTTAAAATAGATATGTTATGATAAATCCGAAGTAAACCCTAATATAGATACTGAATCTTTGATAAGAGTGCTAAACTTCTGAAGAAATAGCCTTTGCTTCACGCAGTTGCGACGATAAAAGTTTATTTATTTACGCAGCTTGACGGAGGCAGTGTACTGACCTTGGCCTTTCCTCCGACTGCCGGCACCCTACCTGACCTCACCTTCTAATCCTTAGAAGGCGGTTGTTGCACCATGTATTTTTTATCTACTAGAATATGTAAGCAAAAGAATGACCAGCGTAATCCTAATATCCTTCTCCTCTTGGAATCTGGTGAGTGTACAAAGGTTCTGTTACGAGCGTTAATCTTGACCAGTATGACGACCAATCACCAGGTTTCCTCAAGAAAAGGTCGACACGCGTTGCACGAGGGCAGCTTTTTTTCTACTAGTCTGGTGTTTAATATACTATGCAGTCGTCTGGCTGTCCAGTAAACGATCTCATTAGTATAACAATAACACACAATATTATAAGCCTTAGTCTGTGTAGCCTAAGTGAAACCAAACCCAGTTTGCTAAAATATCTATACACAATATATTTTCCAAGCCAACTCTATCTAGGACTGAGATCATACTGGTACGCTGGAATACCGGACAACTTTTTTAGTAAACAAATTTGATTTACAAAAACAACTTTCCAATAGCATCGTATAATGCGCTCTCGGAAATTCCCAATGTTAAACTGTATTGACGTGAATCTCTACAGATCATACAATAGCCCTTATTATCACAGCCGCATGCGGCAAGTATCATGTCTCCATTAAGTAGAAAGGGTGGGAGTAATTATAACAAAGCTATGCAGAAGAGTATTGCAGCAAAAAACGTATATATATATATATATATATATATATATATATATATATATATATATATATATAAAGGATGCGCGGATAATATAACATAGTTAATCAGTAAAATAGATTGATATTATATTCAATAGCTGATCATATGCTTTCGATCAGGAGCAATGTTTTTTATGTAATGCGCCCAAAATTACATCTCTAAAATTTTGTCATAGATTTTCGCAAAACGTATTTTCTCGTCATGGAAGTAATAAATGCTAAGCTACATTACCGATCGTATTTTCTGTTCAGTTCAGTTCAGTCTCGTCGATTCTTCAAGGGGTCGTACTCTACATAGTGGTCCTGCGCCAAATCTTTCACTGCGACGCGTCGCATCCTGTAATAGATGAAGTCACGTAAAATGCCACATACTACATCCATTGAGGTCATTCCTCTATGCACCTACTGAGCCATTATTTGCTTTCAAGACGAGCTGGCGGAGTAGTCTCAATGGCGGGGTCAAACAAAATATAGAACAAATGCCGACCGTCCTTCGAGTAAAGTCGAAAGTTTTTGCAATGTCCGCCTCGCCGTTGTTCCTATTTTTGACTTTGAGGTCCTGTCGTTGATCAGCAGCTGCTGTTCGACGGCGTCTTTCTGATGCTCAGATGCGCACTTTGAAGGTTCCGCTTGTGCGACCCAGTGAGTAAACCAGCTGCCGTTGTCCACAGAAAAACGTTGCACTCACGTTCAGTTGGCGGAATTAAGACAACCTTCACAATAGTTCTATCCTTGAAGCATCGAGCTGGACGGACCAAAAAAAATGGTGTAGTGATTGTCTTCAACCCATGGCCAAGTTGGAAGCTATATCACGTGTAACACTTGGGGTAATCTGATCAGCTTTCTGCTGTTCTATAGAAGAAATAACCTACAATTCACATTGCTTATGTAGAGTTTTAGCTGAATCTAAGAATACAACACACAGACTTTGGTCGAGTACATACTCAATAGAAACGAACTTAAGTGTTTTTGGGGTAGCGTAGCGTGTTTGACGTCTTGTTAGTGTCTTCTAAATTTGGACAGATACTTTAGCCTGTTTCACCTTGCATTTTCGTCGCCAGTAGAAAACGCTCATTTTTTAAATTCATGAAGGGCGTACATGCAAGTGCCGGGATCTCTTCGAGCGACCCAGTGATTAGATTGAGTCCATCGTCAAATCAACGTCGATAACAAAACTTATCAGTTAAGCTGTATGACCGCGAGTTCAATATTTATGGACAAAACTCAGCACCAAATCAACCACCATTTATTATATCCGTGAGAGTAGTGGAGAGTAGCGGCATAACGATATCATCGGTGCGCACTGCAACAGTACACGCAGGAAATTCTCAACAAAAGCCCGTTTTTTCAAACCGCGTTTCCGTTCTCAATTCACATAATAGTTTCTTTCCCCCATTGGTCAATACGACGAATTGAAAAAGGTTGTGACCATCCCGCTAAGTTTATTTCCATAGAGAAAAACAACAACAAGTCGATCTTAGAATGGTATAATTCGATGTGATTTATCAACATACATTTTTATACAGTGGATCATCTATGCATCACGTTCTCAGGAGAGCCTGGTTAGCTTAGGTCGTTTTCAGTTCACGCATCAGGAAACCAACGGCGACAATATAGATTTAGCCATAATGTCCAACACCGTAACTTAGGCCATGACCATATCCGTCAATCTTTCCGTAACCAACACCGTAGCCATGTCCATGGCTAGTCTTCGACCCGTACGAGAAGGAGCGTCCTACAGAGTGCCCATGCCCGAGTCCGTAACCTGCATAGCCGAGCTTGTGTCCACCGTAACCGATATGACCAGCAAACATGACAGCGAGCAAGGCAGCCAAAACAACGAGGGTCTGTAAAATGAATAAACAATTAATTTAGGTAATTTGAGGAATCTTCAAAGTCGCTTTTCCATACAGTATTAATTGCAATCCTCGACTTCGAGGTGAAAGGCTCCAATTAGAAATTGGTCGTAACGGCATTTTCTTGGCAAAGGCGGACTGAAGTTACAACGACTAGGTCTGTTCGCATGATGCCGAGGAAGTAGGAGTTAAAAAAAAAATTGACCAAGTTGACGCGAAGTATTTGTAGAGATTGAATCGATGAGTCTGTACGTATTGGAACTGAATTCCTGTGGTTATCTTGATGCAGTTACCTCACTAAGTAAAATACACTGCAACGTAAACTAAGGTACGGTTAACGATTTGACCCCAAAAAAACCATTTCCGTATGTCATACTATGGTTTCCTGAACATTTCCGGGCATTACATCGATGGCGATCCATTCATTAGCAGTATTACCGCACTCAGTGGCTTCTGAACTCTATTCAATGTATGCCAACCCTTATAAGATTCTCACGCAATCATCATGAAGTGTGATACTTACAAGAGCCTTCATATTCTCAGCGTTATTGTGGCACACTCGTGTACACACACCACTGTTATTACTACCAGTGCTAATGTGACGAGGTTCACCGATCGTAAGCGCTTTTATAAGTACCACTAGAAGCAGTCAGCTTTCGGTCAGCTGGGTTTCACTTGATGGACAAAAAGTATTCCGCATAAGTGCACAGCGGGGCTTTCGGAGCCGCCGCCGCGGCGGCCGTCGGAGCCATAAACGGCAGCAAAGGCTCCTCCTCATTCTCACTAGTCTGGGTCTCTGCTAACGGCGCGCAAGGACAAGGACCTTCCTACTTCAGTCGAGAACTCACATGGACCCCATTAGTGTGTGCCTATTTCAACTTACCTTGCTACTCTGAACCACTCCTCCGTCGTAGCCGCCAATCGCGATCAGGTTTTCGGCCCGCTTGTCCACTAACCCGTAGCATACAAGAAACACGTAGGCACATTTACACACGGCGATCAAAGAGGTACGTCCTTATTGTAGTAGTTTAGTCAAAGTGCGAAGTTATCAGTTCACGCTGACATACGAATAGGCACAGAAAAAAATCTAACAAAAAAAAACCTTCAATAAACGAACTATCAAAAGAAACAGTAGCCGTGGTAGGCGTACCGCTAAGCGCTAGGACGGGCAAACTGTGTGCTTTCACAGTTTTCGTTAGGTGATCGACTGTAAAAGACGGTAGCGATAGCAAAACGACCACAGGCCAAAAAGGAAATAATGTTTTTTTTTATTTGTCTGTCATCACATACTAACACAGAATTAATGATAGCTGTAAAGCATGTAATCGCAAATAACTTGGTGACACCTCTGATTCTTTGCTGGTGATTTATGGGCGTTGGCGTACATGGACTAATACATGCATTTCATAATATATGATCTTGAAATTCAAAATTTTAAGTAATCTACGAGTAGACAATCGTACCTGTATCGCATATTAGCATAGACAATTGCTTTCATTTGCGCGAAAAGTCCATAGCAGTTCACAGCTCTTCATGAACCGCTACGCCTTTCACTGAAAATCGTGATAATGCGCCATCGTCGCAACACCGATTTCGTCTTGCAATTTTTCACGAATGACGCAGCACCATTAGATTAAAATGGGCAAAGTTGCTTTGCTGCTACGTAGTGATCCAGAAGGCAAACACCGAGAAACTATACAAGATGATGTCGTTATATTTTGTTTGTGCTTTAGGCGTGCAAAAACGTTTGGCTTTGGATAGTGAAACTTCGAGTTTACAGAATAAAGAAAAATGCGCGAAATCACTCACTACTTATATAAAACCAACTTTATAGTGGTATATGTGCATTGACAAAATAAGACGCAGACATAAAGCAAAAAAATAATTAGTTTGGTACCGAATTTCTATAGGATCTAGGATTAGATCTGAAACTAATTATTTGATTCGGTTTTAAGAGAGTTTACTAAAAATAGGAACACATTGAAAATAGCGACGTTCCGTAACTAATTGAGGCAAAAAGGAAAACAATGGAGAACATATAATAATTTATTAGAACCGCCATTTTTGTTTAAACTTGTATTGGTATATAAAACAATATATATATATATACTACAAATCTTATAAATTTCGTAATAAATAATAAAATAAAATGTTTATTTTTTTTAGAGACCGTATTTTATTAGTAATTGTTATCTATAATCGTAAACGTTGGTATTTTGATTCAGCTGACTAAAAAAATCATTGCTAATATATAAATAAATAAATTGCTACTATTTTTTGTTCAAGTTGGCACCCCCCACGAAACGGTGATCAAGTGAAACAAATTAAGACGTGCCGGTATTTAAGACAAATAAAAAATCATGTTTTGTTCTATAAAATAGTAGCAAATATATGTTGTGGCTGATGATAAAATGAGCATCGTTTAAGAGCCTCTTTTGTGGTAGACAAAATCAATATAGTATTTCGTTATTATAAAGTAAATGAAACATTTTTATATTTTATTTTTATTTTATATTTTATTATAAAATGATTTTTTCATTTTATTATTGTTTTAAAAATATCTTTGAGACATGTGATCTCGAAGGATTATATCCTAGACAAGACGGACAGATACATATAGTAATACATATGCTGCTGTTATATGCCAATCAATTGTTTACTTTAACTACACACATGCACTCGTAAAGAATTTGGTCAATCCTATAAATCTAAATAAATTAGCGCTATTTAAGTAGAAGATTTTAGGTTTAATAACCTCTGTGCTTTGAGTTCTACCGTTTTTTCCGTTGTTGTCGTTAAACATAGTTCCATCACACAGTTGACTCCTAGCCAGTATTTGATGCCATGATTACAGCGTGTCCCTAAGATTAGAACGGAAATACGTTACCCACGAAGTTATCACGGGGATCGGGTTCAATAACCTCGACCGCATCAACCTACTTCAAAAACTGATGTCATTGCTAATCTTTTTAAACCCAGAATAGTTAGAGGTGCAGTAATGGCAAACATCCTTATGCAATAATCATTGGATCACGGGAATGCATTGATATCGACTCTGTGTACCGGCCTTGTTTATCGCTTTAATCGCCTAAATGTGTAATACTGGTAGTTTTGTTTATTCATATATATTTGTAATATGTAGAATAGAATAACTTTGAATTTTCAATATTTACTTAGGATAGACACGATACACAAGTCTTCGTGTGGATATATTTAAATATAGGATAAGACATTCATTAATGAAATCAAAAAACAAAGTATCTTGAAAGCATACATTCTTAGTAGATCCTATTGTAAGAAGTACAATTGATCAAAGGCGCGGCAGATATGATCACGGGTCGATTATCTCTTAAATTCCTTTAATGAATGGTTACCTGTAGCACTAAATTGGCCCAAAGTAAAATAAAGTAGAAAACTTGGAATTAATGACCATGTATATTTGAATTTCGAAGGAGTAATTAGCTACTAATTTGTGATCATATACGGGTATACTTTTTTCTTTGGTATTCATAGCGACCACACATTTTCTGCCCACACAGAACATCTATTTCTGACAAATGCTTATCGGTATGAACCCATTTTTATAGCTTGCTAATATAGAGAATTTCCAAAAAACACTATATGCTTTGCGGGTAAATTTGATTTGGTGGCTATATTTTAGAACAGAAACAGCGTTGCCTTTTGAGAAGTTCGCGTGTCCAAACACGACTTTCGGCGCTCAGCAGTTTCTGTAGTGATGAGTGCCCACTGGTGCTTAGCCCTATTTGTTAGCTTCGTTTGTTCAGAAGCTTGTGCCAAGCTACGTCCCTTCGCTTTTGCTTTGAGTTAAGCTATAGAAAGTTGGCCTAGTCGATGGATAACTATTTGGGTGACATAAAAATGTTGTAGGAATTCTGTATGTATTAACTGTACGTAATATAGAGGATCAAACTTATCTACCCTACGCATTTGATAGTGAAGTATTCAATACTGATTTTATTTAATAGATGCTTTCTGTGTACCTCTGACAAGCAACAGACTCAGTCAGATGATATGAGATTTCAGTCAAGTTGGCATTATTTCACCATATAGAAGTATAATTGAAAGGGCTAACGACGTCTAATAAAATTACCAGCTAACACCTGCGCAACAAAGGATATTTTCGATTCTGTTTAAGCATTCGTCCACGTGGATGTTTTGTTTGAAATAAAGTGACAATATATTGTAGCAATAATGCTCTGAATTAATCTTGAGGAAATTATTCATCTAGATTACGTAGGCACAGTGTCTTATACGCGGATAAGTACATCAACAGACAGGGGTTTACCGTACACAAACCTGTACACGGGATGAGTAGCCTAGGTTGGAGAAACATAGTCTGAGCTTCCATGCCGAAGTACTTTAGCTTATTCCTTTCTTTGCTAACTTTCGAAACACTGTTCATATTTGTTACTTGCATTCTCGCTCGTATCAAGGAACTGTCTTCCAGGCATGTACACTTGTACCGTTTTCGAAATGAAAATCTTCATCGTTGTGGAATTCTAACTTCGAAGTTACATTTCCTTTGCCTGATCCAAAATAACGATAACGCCTACAAATCACATCCAAAGATGATTCAATAATAATAGTCGGGTAGGCCCAAGTTTAAGCGGTCCATGGTGTTACATTAATTTCTAGCCTCTTTTGCAATATAAAGGCTATATGAATTTGAAACAATGGCAGCAACTCCGTAGATTACTTAATGGTTGGCTTGTTCCTGCACAAAGAACTTTATAGCAACGTCTATTCAATTTAAGATAAATAGATTTAAGACGCTGGCTAGGTGCAGTATGCCCCTTCAGTGTAGCTCAAGAAGCAGTTAATCTTTGCTAGTTATTCGTATAATCTTAAATACGTATCGAGTCAAGTTAAGATGAGCCCTAAAAAAAGTGTAGCGCTGTCATCCCACGTCTTATTAAATTCAAGTACAGTTAAACATACCGCGAAGCCATACTATTAGTATTTACGTAAGTAAGTGTCTCTACAAATCCCTCCTTGGGAAATACACTTGACAGGTTGTTCAGGCTGAATCAAGTAGGAAAAGCTAAATCTACCAATTAACCGAATAAAATTAGAGCCATAGGTTAGTACAATATGGCAACAAAAGTTTTATTGAACCTAAGTTAGTGTCTGTCACTTTTCGGTATTCTGTCAGTCTTTTGGTGAGACATTTACGTTTTTGCTCTGATAAATAGGCCATCTTATCAAGGTCAATGAGGTTGTACACTGCTTTGTGCTTCGACGTAGTACCATAACGAACAGAGTATTAATACATAGTATTAATATTTGAATATTTGACGAATATTTGAACAACATTGCAAACAAACGTTAGCTAACGATTATTAAAGTTCATTCGACAAGTTAATGAGATACAGTTAGCCCCAGTAATATCCGTGATGCCAGTGATGACGGTAATGATGACCGTGCCAATGGTGTAGGTTGTAGCCATCATAGCTAAACTAAAAACGCACGTCAAAATCGCGAAAAATAATAACAAAATAAATTTGGAAAAAAAAATCAAATAACATTCACATGAAACAAGGAACAGGCATTTTTAATCCAAACCCACTCGTTAGCGATAACAACTATTACACTATAATAACCAAAAAGTATTCAGGGCTTGTATTACCCAGAAAATGTTTTAACAAATTGATTTTTCAGACCTGCCTAAAGTCATCAAGGTTTTAACAGTTCCGTTGAAAGTATTTTCCCTTAGGAAATGTTAGTGTTTACAAACATATATATAGATATACTATAATTATTATATGACAAATTAGTATTATAGTTCAGTTTAGTGATAAGTTAACGACAAAGATAAAAATATCTTATATAGAGCTGCACGGCACACAATAGAGGACATTTTTGAAGATGTCACATTGATCGACATGCGTCGCTGTGTCATGCCAAACCTAATATGGAACGATGCATCCACAGGAAGGATTCCCTGAAGTAGCGCGAAAGCTGCTGACAATATACACGTCCACAGGATATCCAGACGCATTGGGCATCATTATCGGAAATAGATAAAGCTATTTCATTAATCATCTGACATCTGCTAGACTTTCCCACGGCACAGAAAATAAATGGACACAGTTGCGTAAAGAAACAAATAATGGATTTTGGTAAGTTCAAATGCCTAGTACAGCGTACATTGTGAGTAGAGCACCTGATTAGCGACGAGCAGCTTCTTAGAATGGTAAGTCAGAAGATTGGCGAAAGATTCATCTTTTAAGGTTTTAATAACCAAGCCAAATACAAACGTCGAATTTTATTGTTATTTAAGGATTCTAGCTTATTAAGTTTATATTAAAGGATAAATATTGAATCCAGACTGTGGAGTTTGCTCAAGTAAAAAAGTAGCCGGTAAACTGTATCTCATAAAAGCTATTTATGCTTAAATTGGTTAAAATCATCGTAAGACTGGATCTGAAGTTAGTTTAAGAGCGATTTTCTGTTTCAATTTGAGAAAATGGCTTATTTGCGAAGTATTCGAAAATAGGCTGACCAAATGGCCTTTATCACGTGTTATTAACTATCACGTGTTATTAACATGCACTAAGTTTATATCCTTCGCTTTACTGAAGCGTCACTCGCAACACAGATGTTCAAAAACAATAAAATCATTAGAAAAAAAAGTGAAGCTATCAGGAGCATGGTTACTGTTTACCAAGCCCTAAGGCAGCAAAACAATAAGAGACACTGGTATGGAGTCTTTAGTGTGGTACTAATTAACGAATTCACTCCTGCGCTGAAAACATTCGCTTGACAATTGCTCTATATCAGAATAATATAGTCCAACCGTTTTCGGGGTGCTGTCTTAATGTTCACTTTTGTAATACTGCTTTGCTTCTGTTATGGTTTGCAAACACCCATCACACTATAGCCGCTGAGGATAGGTTCTCCGCCCGCACAATCAGACTCGTCAGTGTCACTGCGTCTTTTTAATAGCGACTGCAATGTGGTCTAATGGGGAAAAAGGTGTGGCTGAGTACTGGCCGTTTCGAGGGGAAGCGCACCACGACGTACGCTTGGTGAAAGGGGCCGCGACACATGTGATGGTCCGTCATTACCTGTTACCCGAAACGAAGAGAAGAGCATGCCGACAGGCGGGCCCTCATTTAAGTTGTAAATTCACGCGCCTAAAGTTGACGGCATCAGAAGGACAACGGATGCAAAGCTTCGTCTGACAATCAAGCGAAGAGTACGTCACGAGCGGGTAGCGAGCGATGACTGCCCTTTACCCAGCCTCGTTGTTTTCTATGAACATTGCACGCTCCTGTATTGAACGTTCGTTTGTCGCGTCGAGCTTTCGCAGTGGATGCTACTTTAGTATGTTGTGAGTCAGCTAGTTGCGTTTGTCACTCAGCATTGCACATGAACCTTCGTTCTGTCAACATTGGCAGCCCAAGAGGCCCCAAAAAGCGAGAGTTGCTCGAAAATGCAAAACAAACATTTGTGCACGCATACACACATACACAACACACACATTTATAGATTTCCAGAAGCCAGAGTCGCCATGTGGTATTTGTTTGTTGAAAGTGGGCCAAAGAATGGTGCCTCTAAACACATCACTAGATCGCAAGTTGTGGGTTGGCTACGCTACGCACTCGACGCGGTCAGCCAGCACGACACCCCGACAGCAGCTTCATGATAGTTGATGATTGATGCCGGAACGTTGTTTCTGCGCTCATCATTTGAATGCGGACATCACCTTTCTTAGCAGAGAACAACGTATAACACTCAATGGTTAGCCTTCACCACAGCGGCTAGAATCCCTATAGGGAGACAGACGCGAGACAATGGATGAGATGATGAAAGGTAAACAAAAGAACGAACTGGATGAGTTCTTTGTCCCTTCTCCTCCGAAAATGGAGCAATCGAAGTTCGCTGCACGATTTTAATTCATTGCTAATGCTAAAGCCTTATCCTTCTACAGGTATGATGCACGTTTTGCTGTACGTGAGAGTGCTGCGTGTGCATGTATGTATGTATGTGTGATTGTATCCGTGCAATGCTTTTGCAATTCTATGTACATATTGACTTTTATGTGCTTTGGGTCGATCTGTCTATATTTGATGCTATCGATATTGACGGGTGTTGGTGTTCATCATTACCACCGTTAGCAGACTACAATAACTGCAGGATGATAGAAACGGCGACTGGTGACCGAAGGCCGACGAGCTCTGACAGGCTGAGCGTTGTAGATGGACGCATTCAAACGCATTGTTTGCGAGCCTTTTCATTTTCCTTACCCTCGCCGCGTCCTCTGGTCCTTTTTGCCATAGTAACATACCGCTGTGCTACTTCGAATAGCAGTGAATGGAGAGAGGTAAAAATGTTGTAACATCGCATCTGCAAAGTGTCTACGTCGTTGAAACATCGTAATATAGCACCGTCAAAAACCGTCGAACAGCTACTTTGATTTTTTTTGGACTCTCTTAGACAATTAGTAATAAAGGAAATTAGATGTTCGTTCTGTTCGTTTACCTTATTCGTCATGCTTCCGCATCGCACTCTGAGACCGACTGCTTATGTTAAGGTGTCGAAGACATGATGTTCCCACTGGTAGATCTACTTACCTTATACTCAATCAGTAGGCACCCGGTTCAGAACAATCAGCGGTACTCGACTGCATTCTGTTTATCTTATTCGGTGTTCGTGGTATCCACCAAGCAACTAGTGCCTACCCAGATGACTGAAGCTACTTTCGAAGTAGATGAATTTATATCTATGACAAACTATGTGTTAATATCGATACGAGATATATACATCTGTATTTCGATCCTACAAAATACATTAATTCATTTAGTTCTATATATAATTCTATGTTCTAAATTGATTTTCCTCGAAGTTGTTACAATCATTGTGTAGTGTTTCTATTATTCTCAAGTAAGATGCGACACATGCTGGTAAGCGACGTCCTTTGACGTACCTGTATGGCCCTATATGCTCGTGGAGACAAAACCAGGTGAAATACCTAATGATGAACACGATATATTTTTTATTTGATTTGGTTATATTAAATCCAGCGCGGCGTGAGCTGCACCTACACCGCTCTGTTCGATAGATCGGTGGATGTAGCATAGACCATGCGAAGTAAATATCGAAAAAGAGTACCACAATAGTACCACAATGTATTTTGTTGTGAAATGGCGTCTTGAGGTCAAATCGAACAGGTTAAATGTACGGTGATCGGTCTTGAAAGCAGCACAAGAGCATTTATTTGAACATAGCATGAATTATTAATGAACTATGAAGAATCTGAGTAGCGGGTTAAAAGTTGCTGAAATAAGACAAAAAAGAACACGTATGTTACAAGCTATAAACTATTAAGTATGTATAGTTATTCGAAAATCAGCACAATAGAATACAAGGTAATACCATTATTCCTGCGTCGAAGTCGTGCTCAATGATGAGTTACAGTCTTATTGAAAACTTGATTCTGGTCGCCATAGGGAATCCGCATGAGATTAAAGCCATCTTATTTCCTGAAATCGTAAAGTTGCAATGTTAAAATAAATAGGGCTTCTATAAGAAATTGTTGCTTTCCTCACGACCTGCTTAAGCTTAAGAAATTAGTTGTACCGATAATAACGGAAGCTATTATTAATATCGGCCAGCATATTCAACGTTTGTATCTTCATATGTTAACTTCTAGAAGACTTTTAAACGCAACGAAGCACTCATGTGTTGTATAAGCAGAAGATACTTTGTGGGTGAAACAAGTATGGTCGAAAGCCGAATACCTGAAAGAAAATAACCATAATATTTCATAATAATTGTCTCTTTATAAATAGTGATCCTTAGTTGCACGCGCATGACCGCACGTTTCATGGATGGTTTCCCTTTTGTGTATTGTGAATTATTTACTGCTCTCGGCTTTCTGGCTAAGATAATTTCATTGCCACGTGTAATTCAATAATGTCTTTGACCTTGGTACCTGTTCTCTATATAGAATTGCGTAAATTAAAAAAAGGTATGACTTCCTTGCTTTTATATTTAATCCCAATCGAATTTTCATAATATATTATATTTAACAGAGGCCATGGGTAGTTAGTACTGCTAGAGAACCTACTAAAAATCTCGAACGTAGAAGGCACTGGGTTTCGGGCTGTGCTTGCGATATTGCGCCACGGTAATCGGCAATGATTTTTCGAGCTCTGGGATTATCTGTAGAATGAAAGTTTGTTCTGGTTCATACAAGAGAGCAGGTGCGCTTGAGTGAGAGACTCTGAGCACGTTGGCTATCTTCGCGTGTCAGTCGACAACTTCGTTGGATACATCGCACTTAGGCTTGCCAGTGAACGTCGTGAAGGTTGTGCAGCGACGATAGGGACGCCAGACCTAGTTGTAAACGTATATGCCTGCTAATCTTAGCAACACCTCGTAGCCGAAGTTGGAACCCGAGCATAAACAGACTTCGTTTCGTGTTCGGAGCCGACCGTCCGACCGAACGCCTAAGAACGATGCCGAACAGTCGTGTATGCCTGTAGTATTACGGCAGGATGATACGTCGAACCCGGCGCTCGAGGATAAGGCGACGACACAGGAGACAGGTCATTTTAGTATGCTACTCCGCTGCTAAAAGCAACTAAAATTTTTCTTTTTTTTTTGATAAGCTAGTCAACAGAGTAGGCTTTTGCAAATTTTCACTAAACTAGACAAGATAAAATTTAGATCTCCACTTACAAGCAGAAAAAACCTGTGGTGAGAGCTTTTTATGAATGAAAGATGAAGGGCGGTGTTTGTGATGGTTCAATTGTGTGTGGTCAGAAATTATGAGCACACAGTTCGAGACCATGAGGAGGCACAATTCATTATCTACGTACAGGGAGACAGCCGGTTAGCGTGATACTTCATGAATTTGGTTTCGGAAATATTACCCGGAGCTGTTTGCATTGCTCGTTATGGCGGTGACGTCAATATACAGAGTGTTCAGAAGATCAGCAGCAATGTAACAGATTTATCGAAGTTAGACTGTTTTAAATGTAATATTTTTTGTTTCATAGTTTGTTAATGCATATTTTGATAGTAATATTTATTTTAAAACAAGGACGGAGAGATAATGTACTTAAAAACTGATTTTGGCATGCCGTTTAATACCTTGTGCGCTCAATGGGACTCTACAGAAAGCTTGACGTTCTCTAAAATCGACTTGCGGCATTCCCTTCCTTCCATTTAGTTTAGAAACATTACCATCTGTTTGTGTGAAACAAAAAAATAAGAGTAAATTGCATATAAGTTACGCTTTGATTATACTCTCAGAGAATTTGGATACCTGCTTATGTATAATGTACATAATGCAGTGTACAAAGATCAGAAACCTCGAGACTCTTTTGAAAGAACTACATAACTAGCATAATAACCTAGTAACGATAATTGCTACGATAACGTTTCTTCTATTCTAACAAGAACATTATACGTAGATGCCGAAAAACAAGAATTAGCAATAGGTTCTCACTAACAAATATCTTTGATTTCTATGATACATTCCCACATATACGACATTGTGTGTTGTACATCATCTTGAATATTAGAATTAATTTTCAGTTATCCTAATCATTCAACATAATGGTGAAGAAAGCATTTGTCTGTGTCATATATGTGATGTGGGCCAGACAAAAATCCAAGAAAACGTAATGCCACACGTCCCTTTCAATATGAGTATGTTTACGTTGTATACTTTGTAATCTTAACATTTATAGTAGCTTCAAATGTATCGTGAAAGTTGTCATACCTGTCTGCAAAATGATCAAAAGTAAGTGACATTTGTCAGCACTTCAAGATGCTTTGGTAGGTAGCGTACCGGGTTGATAACCCTTAGACCTCAGGTTCGATAATCAGGCTCAGAGATTTTAGAGTTTTTAGTTTCTAATCAAGAAGTTTTCTAATCTAAGACGTGAAACTTCGTCTGGTCGGTGTGGGCACCGTATCACTTTCCACTAGAAATAGGTCCGTATCAGACCACATGTATATTACTTGTAAGAATTATTCATCACTAATGGGTTGCAGGAACTTACGAATATATTATAAGTTTAAAATATGCGGAAATACGAAGAGTCATCAGAAGACGAAGAGCGGATTCGCAGCAGTGATTAGCGACCAGAATAATCTTGGAAAATCGCGAAACCTGCTGAGAAAACGACGATAGTTTTAACACATTGTGAAAAAAAATAAAGCGGTAGACACATAAGCCTATTTCATTTTCTCACTAGTATACACATTTTTTTTTTTTATCGTGACGGCTAAATGCTAGAAATGCACGTTGTCAGCAACAGTGTCACATATCGTTTTAGCGGGTCGCACACACTTAGCGGGTCGTAACCCTAATGCAGATTGTAATTTTCATACACCGGATCACGGACATGACTGACTGTTGAAGAAGTATTGGTACTCAGTGACTGCAGTCTTTTTAAAAAAAAAAAACTAGACAATATTATTACGATCTCGTTGGTATTGCACCAAGTTTTATAGTGTTCTCAAAGAAGCCTTATCGAACACGGGCTTCACCCTCATCAAAGCAATCTGTCACCGCCCACTTGCAGCATAGTGGAGGACATCGCGCTTTGCAGGCTCATTCGCAAAATACCCTTTCAACTGTGATGTCCGTGCACATATCAGTTTCCGATGAGATCATCTACCACCATACGCGTACCCACTTATCAAAATGTTTTTCAAAATCGTAGCATAGTGAATGGATTGGATTTTCCATTGATAGATAATGTAAATGTATTCAGAATTATTCGAATGATTTGATATGATTCTAATGGTAAACAGGAGATAGATACGAGCTTTACCGTCAGATATGAAAAAAATAATATTGAACGATTTTAAAAAGAACGCTCGTTGCCTTTAGTTGATCTTAAGGTAGCCCTTTTTAAACAAATCCTCAAAAATCAATTCCATAATAGAATGTAATAAATTGAATCAAGGCAAGACAAACTGAGACGCTGCAGATTCGGCTATACAAAACGTTTCTTCAACATAACATGAAGTTCTGGGTCGAGGCATTACGGACTGTTTTGATTGGCCTGTTTACCAAGGTTCGTATTAAAATACAACAAAACGTTTTGTTTTCCTTTTCTTG